TCGTCCATACTTGACTGACTTGATGAATAAAAAAAAAATTATTAAAAATATTAGAAGACTTTGTCGTGTGAAATACATTGACAAATTTTAGGGTCTATTTCTTTAATGAATTGAATCTCAAATATGTTGTATTAGTCAACGCCATTATTTTAATAATGCATTCTGAATTTTTCATTTTCTAGAAAAATAGAGTTATGAAAATTTCAACTAGCCACAGCTTGTTGCAAGATGCCTTGATTTGGCTAATTCATAACTTTGTCCAAATAAAGTTAGAATTAATTACTCTCTCCGTTTTATTTTACTTACCTTACGTTGAATTGATACTTTCTTTTACAAAAGTATTTAGTAGGGAGTTATCTTACTTAAATAACTTTATTAATTATGTTTTGAATATATTAATTTTTATTACTATCGCTTTATGTAGTTGATAATAAAGATATTATTAAAAAACTATTATTCCCTCCGCTTCTTTCTAATTGTCATATACTCTTTCTGTTAAATTTTGATTGTCGTTTTACATTTTTTGAAAGTCAATTTGACTAATTTTTTAAAATTAAATTAAATTATAATTTAAACAAAAATTTAAATATTCAAAAGTTTTACGAAAAGTATTATAAATTTCAACTTTTTGCATATTAATACGATGAAAAAAAATATCGTAAAATGCAAGTCAAAATTATTATAATTTGACTCAAAAAAAGGAGACTATGCTAATTAAAAGGGACGAATGTAGTATATTTATATGTCATCCTTAGTAAAATAGACGGTCTTTAATATTTGTCATTTCACAAAATCAATACATAAATGACATTATTTTTTTCTATTTTTCTATTGAGAGTTATTAGCCTTGAAAATATGAATTTTGACCTACATAAAAAATTAAATAAATTAATTCATGTTCATTGATCAATTTGATAAGTTAATTTCAATTTACATATTGAAACTTGACTTTAATAAAATACTAAATAAGAATATAATGATAAATTTATGTAAAATTTAAAATGATAGACAACGGAGAGAGTAAAAGAATTTATCTACATTTATTAAAATGAACTGGTAAAACATAATCAATTCTAAATATGAGGAACCAAATAAAATAAAATAAAATGTAAGTATTAGACTTATTTATTTATTTATGTAGTAGCATTAATTTCTGTCCAATAGAAAATAAGACTATCCTTATATCCTAATCTATCGTGGCATACATATAGATAACGCGTATTGGACAGCTAAATTGGTGAACTTCGTGTGCCTATTTTTTATGCACTTAATTAACTATAGGTTGTGTTTGGTATATTTTTCTCAAATATAAATAGTTTTGTTTTATATTATTGATGAATATATTATTTTAAATATATTTATATATAATAGTATTAGGATATATAATGAGAGATGGGTGAGGGTAAAACCAATGGTCGGCAGGAATGGGGTTAGGTGGTCTGTGTTAAAGGGTACGGCGGAGATAATGAATATAAAACATTAATTTTTTTTTATCGAAAAAGTCATTTTAGAAAAATACTTTTTCTTCAACACTCAAAATATTTAAATATTCTATTCTTCGTAAATCCAGACCTCACAGGGGACAGCAAAGAAAAGAAAATAGAGTGAACGTTGAAAATGTTCATAAAAAACCAAAGAAGTTATATCAAATAAAAGAAAAAAAAATACTCCCTCTTTTATTTTAATTTTGCACATAAAGTTAGTGATGACGTGCCAAATGATGTTATATGAGTGAGTAGGTTAGAAGATTGGTCAAAACAAGACTCAAAATTCAACCTATATATTAATATTAATATTAATATTAATACTCATACTGTATAAATATATAAAACACCTTTTAATTTTATTTTATCCATATAAAATATACATCCTTCTATCGACTTTCCTAATGGTTGTCTTGACTTTGACTATAGAAGAAAAATTCAAAATATGATGGGCCGACCTAAAAAGTTATACAGTACTTTTTTTCGTTTTAATTTATACAAAATAGTTTAATTTGATATAATTTTTTTTTAAAATAAGATTTTTAAAATTTATAACTAAAAATAAATGTGATTATGAATATTTTGCTAAATATAAAAATAATAATTATTTTATTTTAAAATTAATTAAAAAATAAGTCATATAAATTGAGACAGTAGACTGTACCCACCACTTGTGTTTGCTTAGGTACAAATTTGACAACTATAAGTAAGCTGTGGATAATAATTAATAAGAAGGATATTTCAATCTCTCAATTTAATATTTATCCCCCTTTTCCTTGATTTTCTTCCCACCTTCCTACAACTTGGTCAGCTGGTCTTCTAAAGCCCTTTGGTATTTATATACACCTTTTATTATCTTTATTTCTAATACCATCATCAGATTTTGAGGAGATAAAAAGAAAGTGTTTGTTTCTTTAACTTAAACACACCTGAAGAAAGACTACAACTTTGTTGATTCTTGGAATTTTCATACATCAAAGAAGATATTAATTACAATGGAATTTACCAGTTTGGTTGATACTTCATTGGATTTGAGCTTTAGGCCTCGTCAAAAAGTCCTGGTAAGATTTTTGGACTATGCCCAAATGTATAATTATATTTTTACTATTGATGTTTTTCGGTGGTAACAGGGGATATATGTTATTAGTATTGATATGTTTTTTTTTGTTGTTGTTGGGTTTCAGAAACAAGAAGTGCAGAGTGATTTCACTGGATTGAGCATAGAAAGAGAGAATATGGTGGTGAAAAATGAGGCAGGGGATTTGTTAGAGGAACTAAACAGAGTGAGTAGTGAAAACAAGAAGTTAACAGAGATGCTTACTGTAGTTTGTGAAAATTACAATGCTTTAAGAAACCAAATGATGGAGTATATGAGCACACAAAATGGTGTAGCTGAAGATACTAGTGCAGGGTCAAGGAAAAGAAAAGCTGAAAGTATCTCTAATCCTGTTAACAACAACAACAATAATAATAACAATATGGATGTTGTTCATGGACGTTCATCAGAAAGCAGTTCGAGTGACGAAGAGTCCTGTTGCAAGAAACTCAGAGAGGAGCACATAAAAGCGAAAGTTACAATTGTTTCTATGAAGACTGATGCATCTGATACCTCTCTTGTAAGTACATACTCTTATGAGAATGACACTGAGATACAGTTTAAGCTGTTAGTGAGAGCATACGACTAATTATGTCTTGGGATGTTAACTTATTTTGCAGATTGTAAAGGATGGTTATCAGTGGAGAAAGTATGGTCAGAAAGTAACTAGAGACAACCCTTGTCCAAGAGCTTACTTCAGATGCTCATTTGCACCTGGTTGCCCTGTCAAGAAAAAGGTAAATTAAAACCCTAATTTGAGTGTTGACAATCATTGTAAAGAAAGAATTTGTCATGTTCATGTTTGCGCGCACGTTCTAATAGTGCATTTGGCATTTTTGACAGGTTCAGAGAAGCATTGAAGATCAGTCTATTGTGGTAGCAACATATGAAGGAGAACATAACCATCCACAAACCTCAAAACCAGAATCAGGTCCAAGTACTAATACTTCCACAGCCAGCCGATTAAATGTGACAACTATCGCGGGCACTACTACTTCAGTCCCTTGCTCTACCACTCTCAATTCCTCAGGACCAACCATTACTCTCGATCTTACTGCACCGAAAACAGTGGAAAAGCGCGATATGAAGATGAATCACAGTACTACTAGTCCTACCAGTGGCAATAGCATTAGAACAACAACAACAACATCAGCAGCAGGAGGTGAATATCAAAATAGGCCAGAGTTTCAACAGTTCTTGATAGAACAAATGGCTACTTCCTTGACCAAAGATCCAAGTTTCAAAGCAGCACTTGCTGCCGCCATATCAGGAAAAATCCTCCAACATAATAATCAGACAGGGAGATGGTAAACAAAAGTCCAGCAGAGCAGTCAACTACTTTGTATAGACAATTGTTCAATATTTTCCAACTTGACTCATATCAAAAGTTCTTAGGAGGAAAAAGGAAACACAAATTATTGTTCAAATGTAAATACAGGAAAAGTTAGTAACATTTGGACCGCAAAGTTGGACTCGGAGATGCACGTGAGAATGGGATCTTACTAGACTCTTAAGAAATTTTCAACAGCAGCCATACTGGGTCCCCTGCAGAATGGACTTGCTCTGAGTTGGCTAGATTGAGACTGAATTGTCCTAGAAGCATTTAAGTTGTTGAATTTGACAACTTTGTAGAATACTGAGATGAGATTATGAAATATACAACTTACTGTTCTGTTCACTGACTTTATACAACTCTTTTGTGGCATCAAATTTAAGTTACATGCAAGAATCAAAAAAATTCTAAAGTGATCTGCTATAGTAAAAAACTATGTTTCCCTCGGACTCTTCAAAAATGTCATCAGTAACTGATCCTTCAAAAGGTGCGGCAACATTTTTGGAGAGTCTGAGCAACTTAAGGTAAAAACAATCATTATCTGAAAGCAACTGATGAAATGGTCTTTTGTAATTCCATCCACTAGCATAAAAGAGTACAGCTTTGTTGGTCCAACACTCCAACTAAAAGTCTTCTACTTATTGTTTCAATGTCTTAACATGTAGTTGTCTAAGGACCCAACCATGTTGATTATCTGCACCATTGATAAAGATATCTCAACAAGGGCAAGAAATCAAAATCATGTTTAAGTCTTCAAGCTACTTAACACTATTCTTCCTTTCTATTTTCTCTTACTTTTTCTGGTAAATGATGACTTTTAGCTAGTGTTTGGCCCTATGTTTTAGAAGCAAATTTTGAAAATATGTCTGCAAACATCTATTTGGCCATGAAATTTGCTTCTTCAAATATTGCCAGTCCAAACCCAACTTACTCAAATTTTCGACTTTCAAGTTTCAACTTCAAAATCTATGGACAGATGGAAACTCAAGCAATTGACCTTTCAAATTACCTTATATTTTCTCTAAAATCATAAATCACATCATATCTGCATTATTTTTACCTCCACATCAAACCCGAAGGTTGCTACTTCGAAAATTTTGCACAAACAGCTGACAAATCATTCAGTTTTTCTGTGTCAAAATAGAACATACAAGTGTTCTCAACAACCATTCACACAAAAAAAATTGCTCTTTATTGCCTGGATTTTTTTATTCAAATCCTAAAAGACATAGGGTCTAAAGCTATGCTGGCTATTTAGAAAAACTAAAAAAACTTACAGAATCATCCAAAATATTGCTGAGTCTGATTTTAAAAAAGGAATCAAGAACTCAAGAAACCATTGATGCAAGAACTTTATTAAAGAGGATTCCATCTCTGGAATGCAGAAGCAAGCAGCACTAGTTCCTTCAAGTTGGCAGATGTATCTTCTCTAGACTCAAGAAAGCGGCTTTGCACGAGTAGCTGGATCTTCCTTGGATTCAATTTGTATCATAAATGCATATCCCAATACCCATAAGAAAATATACAAGAAAGGAACCCAAGAGAGGCAAGCTAGCAAACTCAAAATGCTGCCGACATACTGAGGATCTCTTATTACTCCAAAAGGAAACTCTGTTACCCAAGGGATATTCTTCCCAAATCGTACACCATAGTAAGTGCCATCTTCTCCCAAAAGTTGGTAAACCCTGCAGTTTTGTAAATTAATACATCCATGAGCCCTCATAGAGTGAAGAACTGAATGTAAAACACGGACAAGCGATAGGAGTGCACGTCTAACATAGCAGTCACTCTTGATAAGATGGAACCAAGGCATAGCTTCATTCAGATATGAATCATGATATCCAAAACAACCAAGTAATAAATAGTCAGCTGAATAACTAAAGCGACTGCTGGTGCCATACTGAAGTCTAAAGCTAATGCTGGTATCATATAGAAGTCTAAAGCGAATGCTGGTGCCATGTCAGATCTCTTATTTGAAAATTGCATTGAAATGGAGAGCCTCTACCCGATAATTGTTATCAATGTGGCTCTTAATCACGTTAATGATAATCTCTGTTTCTACTATGTTTCTGAACTAAACTCAACTTAAGAAGGGGTTGAAAAAACACCTAACAAGATGTGATTCTAATAAAAGAAATTCTTTTTTGATAAATGACTCCAATTATCTTTCGTAGGCATTTCACTATTTTAAGCCTTCCAAATTTTATCAATGCTTGTTTAAAGATATGGATGTATGATCCAAAAAAACCTGTAGTTAAGAAATAAGAACTACGTTTTAAGTTTGGCAGTGAACCTCAGAATCATTACTCTTCTGTGAGCTGAAATAATCTACATATTAAACAGGGAAATTAACTTACATATCGCCGACCCAGAAAAGTAGCCGGCAAATGTAAAATATATGATAATAGTGCATAATATATGTATATTGGCTAACTATAGTAAATAAGCAGCTATAGAAGAGTAATGATATGAGGTTCACTAATCACTACCTCATCATACAGAACTTAAACTCATAGAAGAAACCCGAATTACTCAGGAAGATTGGCTGGAACCCTAAACCCTAAACTCAAAAAATTCAATATTTATTCTCTATCCTATCCCAACCGGACTTCACCAAAATATCCTTGATTTTTAGTCTTTCAGAACAAAGTCTAGTTGAGTACAATTAGGTGGGAGGTAAAGATCAGTAACCCAATGATGGACCCAAATCATTGAAATCTCGCCCATATCTCCTGAGACATTAGTTTTTAACTGGTCGATATGTCAAAGTTTGCATCATAGATTCACCACTTCACTGCGTTTATTTGATATTGCAGGCAGAGCATCTAGAGCTTGCATATATTCCATATCAAGCTGATAACAATTCATGTGTGCTGTTTGTTTTCAGCTGGGGGATTTCATTTGGACCGGTAACTTCTTGGTCATTTATTTTACAGCATGTAGAAAATGGTGATCGCAGGTCCAATATGGACTACCCTATAGTATCTATTAAAACTTCATCATCTGATGTGATCACGTCAAACTGGATTGACGAGAATTGTGAACTTAAAACAATAAGATGGCACTGGCACATCAATCTTCTGAACTGATTGAACAAACCACTTCTCTGCGACAGTATGGGTGCTTATAATCTGTCTGAGAAATGTATTTAAACCTCTTAACTTCCCACATCTAAGCCTCGAGGCAGAGACGAAGAACAGAGCCAAGTATCAACTTTATGGGATCTGGATAGCTAATAATTAGGTTTTAAATTTAATATGTGCACACATTTAATGAATTGTCAATATGGAAGCTTTGTGCTTTGCATGCTTTGAATCTCCATGAAAACATCAAAGCTATTACATTATTCCATAGTGCAGGAGGAACTTGCACCAAAGATGCTTTCCGTAAAGAATAATTTAACTGGCTCCTAGTGAATTGATGACAAGCGGAACCGCTACGCCATCCCTTTCCTCCACGCATTAAAAATTGCCAACGAATAACATAAACCTAGATATCCAATTTTTCAATCAGCTCATCGACAAATTACATGTCCATTTCAAATTAGATAGCGTCAGCTATATCAATCTTTTATATTTAACTCTAAAACTCTATGGAGAATGCCTCTACCATTTCTACACTTAAATACCAGATTTAGTTCACCCATCAATATTCCGAGACATCCCGCTCTATACTATCTTTCTCGTTGAACCAAAGCCTTGGGAACAATCAAATCATCAGTTTTATTTAGGCCAATTTCACTCCAATCCTAAAAAAGCCATTCAAGAATCTAATTTCTACCAAACAACAATATCCCAAGGTATATGTTCATAAAATTAACAAATTGACACAATCTTTGTTAAAAAGGGAACAATCTTCACATTGTCCAATGACCATAAAACATCGTAAACAAGAAAGAAGATCAAATAAATTTGAAGCTTGAGGACACTGACCTAAAATTAAGGAACTGGCCAAAGATGAAAAGGGGCCAAAAATAAAGAGGAGGCGGCCATGAAAATGTGGAAACCGACAAGAGTGATATGATTTGGATCAACTTTATAAAATGAGAAACGATAGCCATAACTTTGCAAGGGTCACGTCCACTTCCACAGAGATGAACCCATTTTTGAGGATGTGTCCAGAGATAGTAGTAAAATGGAAATGGTGATATCACTGCTAAACATGCCCATAATCCCATTTTCACTGATACGATTGTTTCTGTCTTTAACCTCAATGCTCAAAGTCCACAAAAAGGAAAGTCCCTTTCAAGTTTCGACGACAACTCTAATGTGTCAGCATATTTTCTAAGGTTTGGGCCATATTGTTGGGCTTGCTGGAAATTAGTTGGTTTTTAATCGTATAAATTTAACGAATCCCATAGTGTAATTCAATAATTACATTCTGTCCCGATAAGTTTAATTAAATTAGAATTTGACAATAATTTGGGTGAAATATCCGCAATTAATATTGATTAAAGTAAGTTTGAACAAAGATTATAAAATAAAGTATTTGATATATAAATATAATATAAAATTTAAATAGTGTTTAACAAAAAAAAGAATTAGTCTGCCAAAAAAAGGGAAGATCACTAATGAAAAATTATAATTTAATTTAGAGTTTTATATTGGATAAAACTGATCTTGAAACACACAAGTTAATGCTTTTTTTATGGGATTAATAACTGTAGCATATTAAAAGTAGGAATTAATTCAAATTTCAGTTTTTAATCCCCCCAAATCACTCAACAAACGGATAAAATAGCATAATATAGAATGTATCCGACTGTTTTATTATGTATCAGAAACTTCTTAAAAATAAGGGATTTTTTGTAAATTGAAAAAAAGTAGGGATAGAAGGTAATTTATGTTTTAACACTATGTTACTTTTAATTTTTATCTTTTTAATAATGGAAAAATAACTTTAAATACACAACTATTTCTCTAATTTTCCCTTCTTTTTTTAAATATTACATAATTCTTTTTTTTAAATTTTAGTGTAAGTTTATAGATACATTACATTCTCTCTCCCATAGTACACAATTACCCATTTTAATGCCTATTTTTTCTCCATTAAAACACTCAACCTTTTAAATCAGTTTTTAGATTTTGAATTTTCTCCATTTAAACACTCAACCTTTTAAATCAGTTTTTTTTATTTTGAATTTATTAATTTTAATTAATTTTAAATAAAAGACCTAATTTTGAAATTTTGAATTTCAAAAATTTCAAAAATTTCAAATTTTAAATTTCAAGTATGGTGCAGATTGTTGCAGTCTCGAACCAGTTAAAGGGCTCGAGGAGAAAGAGCTACTTGCCCTAGCGGCTAATAAGGACCTATCTTTTGCTTACACACCAAAAACAGAAGAACCAGTGCCTCTTGCCTTAGAAGAAGTTAAGGTGATAAAAACAAATAGACAATCTTCTTCTCATCCCAATACATTCTCCCAGTTACCACTTCCCCTTCCTCTTCCTCTAGCATCAACTTTGCATAAGGCCAAACAGGACTCAAAGAGTTAAAGTTTGTTAGGCCTACATTGTCTCGGGTTAGTATTTTGGTACTTAAAACTGTTGTTGAAATTAGTAAAAATTTTAAGGAATCTAGTGTGCTTGCCGATACATTGTATAATGTTTTAGATGGTGAATTGATACATGAATTTGTTGTGCATCATAATATTTTATATGTATCATGAAGTTTTGAAAATTGTTATAATGTATCATTCAATAAGTTTAGTAAATGCGTCATCAACTGTGCTTGATGATACATATAGAATCAGTGTGTACAGTGTTTAGTCAATTCACTGATACATGTAGTAGATATGTATCACATGTTTTGCATATAGTATGAATTTCTGAAAACTGATATCATA